CCAGTCCAAACCTATGATAACGTGCCATTAGAGATCAGATCTGGCCCCACTCTGGGAGCATTTATATCACTACTGAAAACCCATCTGTTCTCACTAGCATTTGACCTTTGGTAAAACACTTCTGGCAGGGTTTACTCATCTATCTATTCATTTAATTTTATTTCTATTTCATTATGCTTTGCCGCGACTGCCAGTGGTATAAGTGGTTATTGTGATTATCATCTGCCAATTCTGGGTTTGCAAAGCAAACTCTAACATTATCCCCCTTTAGGGAGCCCTCACTCCCTAAATCACAACAATGACTCACAAAGAAAAGCTTTATCGGAGGTGAAAAGGTTGACCAGAGGAACATTCACGAAATCAACCTTTTGAAAACACCAATCTCACATTGGTATGGCTTGTATAAGTTTCTGACATTTTCGTGTCATTCTGGTACGTCAAATCATAGCAGGCTCATTAGACGCATTATGTTCTCTCTGAAATACTTAAGACATGCTGTCTGCCTATGTTGGAAAGCAAAAGTGTTCAGTGTTTCTGAATGGCCACACTATAAGGCTGAGTGAAATGTTGACCATGATAAAGAGGGACATTTTCACACAGGCTCTGTTCAAAATCATTCTCTACTCACTATATAATGCACTACGTCGTGTGTTCGCCTTGTTGTAGTTGTGTCTGAATGCTGTGTTAGTTTGGACAAGTGTTAGTTTGGCAAATGCACTTGTGGTTAATTTCCCCACATGTAGGATGAGAGACAAATAAAAAAAAAAGGTAGTGGATGTAGAGAACTATGTCTCCTCAACAGCACAACACAACAAACCCACATTAAAGCTTTTTGTAACTCACATCCCAGTGTTTCCTTAATTTTAAAGTACTACAGAACAGGTGCACTAGTAAACATGTGTGAAGTACTCTACAAATTCCTATTTACACACTTTATACTTTTGTGAACTGACATTTGTCCCATATTTATTCTGAGCGCCATTTGAAGCCACTAAAGCACAAAGACACAATAAAAAGCCCAAATGTGTAATAACAATATTAACCTGAAAGGAAGGCAGAGTTTTGGTGGAATCCAATAAGTACTAAGTAAATATCCAAGAGACCGTACAACACAAGTAGTAAACAACCACCCAATAAACATACAACTCTTCTGCTAAACTCTCTTTCAGATCTAACCTGGTTTGCCAAAGAAAACAACGGACTTTTGTTTCCTCATTTTAAATGATAGACTGTAGTAGTGGTTACAGACAGGAGAGGATTTTGAGGAGTAAATGAAGACAGCCAAAGATTTCCACAAGTCCAGTTTCTCTAATAAAATCCAACTCAAGCAGCATTGTTTGTTTAAAGTCCCAAGCACGTAATTGGCCCCTCTCCCTCCTCCTCCTCTTCCTCTCTGGGGTCCAAACCAATCTAGCCCAGACAGAAGGCTCTACAACAAGATGATTAAACACCCAACTCAGCCTGCATTTCCCCTTTTGGCAAATCCACTGATTCGCTGGCCTTTCTGATGCCCATTAGAAGCCACCTTTTGGCAGATAGCAAGCACTGACAGTTTCTTCACTGGTTGGCTGGTCTGTGCATCAGGAGGGCTGCATAATATTTCTAGGTGAATGGGGCTGCTTCAGTACTTTGTCACCATCTTGCCTGTTATTGTGCTACTGAGCAAGGCAGTCTAACTGTCAGAACAGCTGACGTATAGGTCGGTGTTCAAAGGAGGCTGCAGATGTGCTGGGAATCATTCATTTGGGACTGAAAATAACTCATTCGGAGCACTGCTGAAAATAAACATTAAACCTTTTCCTGCAAAAACAATACTTTTGTATGAAAAAAGAAAAGGAAATGACTCACTTTAAAAGTAAAACTAGCTTGCATTAGAATAGGTAACTTTCTTATCTTCACCAGAGAAACAAAAGGAAAGCTGGAAGGATTTAGAATAATGTAAGACCTAGGGGAAGACTTCTGCCAATATGCAAAGAGAAAAATCTTTCCAAACCACCTTGAAGAGACAAATTTCCTATTAAAAATCCAATTCAGGTCTTAAAAATGCCAGTAGTTAGAAAGAGATGCTCAATAAGAACTTTTCTGCACACTCCATGCAGCGCATGGCGACAGTGTCAAATTAAAATCACACTGCACCAATGCGATCAGTAAATCTCACAGACATTGTACACAACCTCAGAACTCGTTAATCCTGTCCGATGGATTGCAAAGTCCTCCACCTATTACAGATAATTTTTCTGAATTCATACTTTTTTCATCATTCGAGACATTTTAGAATTAAAAGAGCCCCAGAAATTGTGATTAAAATTTTATAATGTTTTACTTATACCCACTAACTGCAGAAAAACTTTGTGTCTTGAATTTAACACCAGCAAACCAGGATATTGCCCCAGGTGAATGAAGAACTACACCTTCAGTTTTCTTGTTCTTTATTTTTCACTAAGTCCTTTCTCATCACCGCCTCTCTTTTGCAATTTCAATCTCACACAAACTTGCATTAAAGGTGTGACTATTTGTGGTTCAGATGAGGAATAAGAAGGTAGAATACTTTTAAAAAAAGACAAGTTGTGATCCTCCCCTCAACTCTAGAATCAAGTAATATCAGACTAGAACCATTAGGACAAGCTGTCCCTCACAGGCAGGAGAAAGCCCCTTCACTTTCTTCACATCTATATTACCTGCAAGCAACCCAGAGCTAGGTTACAACATTGTGAATATCCACCTAACACCGCTGCATCCATCATTTCTGGAATTCCTGCAGTCGCTGTCAGACACACACTGCGTATACCTGTGCGTGGAGTTTCCAAAGAAATAATGCTGTTGTCGGCACAAAGCAGAAAAAAAGCTGCCGAAAAACCAACCGGTACCATACTGACAGAAGCCGAACAAAGGAAACCAACAAAGTTCACCATATATCAAGTCAAACTGTTTGTCATGTAAATATGCCGAGGCTGAGATTCTGAGTTTATTTACACACACAAACAGGAAAATGAACAGCAGCTTCAGCTTTATGTGGTGAAGCCAGGGAACAGCTCCAGAAAGGTGGTAACAGTCCACAGAATCACTGAAGTGACAAAACTTTCTATACCGTTTTACCCCACTGCTGCTGACATGATTTGGTCAGGTTTTATTAGCAGCACATCTCAACGTTTCCTCTTTTACACGGTTCCCTATAACAGTAGTAAGTAAAGCAGTTTCACTGGTAAAAACTGTGACTGGCAATAGAAGCCGCACTAGAGTGTGGATACCCGAACCAAGCCTGATGGGACCCCCAGGGTTGTACAGACATTTAGAAATTATGTTCAGGTCCAGGTCGGGTACAAACATGTTGGTAAAACTTTAGGCTAGAGAGATGGAGCAATCAAACGTCTGCTTCGTTTAATGACAAGGAGGAAAAAACACCGTGAGGAAGCAAAGACCCTCACTTCTCTAATGCAACACACACAAGATTAGCACTGATGGAATTACACTTAGTGTAAATACATGAGTCTCTCTCATTTTCTAAAGCACAATTCTGAAGGTTCTAGTGAGACTAAACTTTAATGTTGCTTTTTCCACTATCGAAACCTAATGAGCAGTATTCCCTGTTTTTCCTGGTACCTGATTTTTAGTACTACCTCCTGAGGGATGCTGAAATTTAGCTCCCAGAATGCACCTCCGTAGTGGAAACTAACGCAGAACCCGTGACAAGCGTTACTCGACGTGACACGTCTCGGTAGGTTCCTATAATAGAAAAGCCACTTAAATGATTCCGGTGGGTGGGACTTGTTGTGTCACAGAACTCATACGTATTAGTTCAAGGAAGCCATTATAAAAACCAACCGTAGTCCAAAAATACAACATGTAGGAACTACGCCCAACCAGATACACAGTCAGTCTGCTCATTTGTTTCTTTCTCCAGTTTTCCCCCCAGATGACATACATGGAGACAAACTGCTGAGGTCTAGGCTTAAATACTATTCAAATGAGTCAAGGATTCAAATACTTGATGTGATGGTGTTGTTGTGTTTCGTAGGACAGAACAAGAAGCTGTGCAAAGCTCTAACAATTTATATTTCAGTGGGTTAATATTTAAAAATCATGATTTAACCATCATAGCTTGTTTTTATTTCAGAGATCTGTGAAAAAAGAAAGTGTTCTTCACTACAAACTAGGACAGCAAGTAATGATTATTTTCATTTAATCCATTTGTATATAGATAAAAAATAAAATGGTAAATCTTCCCACTGGAAGTTTTTTTATTTTATTTTAGTTAGTAAATCGAATAATAACTGAAAATCTGGTATCATTACTCTTCAAGATTCAAGCAGCTGAAGGTAAAACAGGGTCAAGGGTAAGAGCTGGAGGCAGAAGAGAAGAGCTCCGAATCACTGTAAATTTAAGAGCAAACCTTTCTAACAACAATTTTAAGCGATCGAAGATAATGGCGATCGATTACACACATTAGCAGCATCTTGGTCATGGCCCAAAACCGTACTCTGCTAGTCTCACTCTTACAGGAAATTAAAGCAGTGGTATGTAAAATTCAAAGTGACTGCAGTCATTAAATATTCACCAGCACACTGCACGTTTGTACCGGCGAGAGAGACAGCAGACTACTGGAATACTAAATCTCTTTTTTCTCCCCTCAAAACTAGCTTTTGGAAACAGAGACATAAAAGAAAACAACAAATTCACTGTCAAACGTGACAGGAAAGAAGAAGTGCCCTTCTACTCCCCGTTGGACACAGTGTTCAGTCTGTGGCTTGATCAGTGAAGCCACAGAAGGCACTGTGATTAAACACTAATAAGAAACAACAGTAAAGGTAGTCTGTATGAACAAACCAGGAAAGTAAATCGACTCCACTGGACACAAACTGGCTGCACACCCGAAAGGAGCCAAATGAAATGGAAGAGGAGACAATAGTTCCAGTCAGAGACAAAAAAGAGTGATGACTGCACTGACACATATGGATGAAGAGTCATTTATTGCAAAGAAAACCTAAAAATAATGGGCTCACCGTGTGCCATCAGCTTTCCAGCTGACTTTGTATGGTTTCTGTTCCAGGAGACGGAGGTTGTGTCTATCCATGGACACAGGCTGAGCCCCAGGAAAACCAGGCCTGTCACAGCAATGAAAACACAACAGATGACATTTATTTTAGTTGATAAATAAATGCAATTTTGCTCTTACTGTACAATTATAAGCGCCACGCTCCGGTGTTGAGACTTTGGTCCCAGCACCGTTATTACAGAGAGCTCCAGGGATCTACTAAGACTGTCAGCGGTGGTCAAAACAGATAGCACATCCACTTTTTGATAAGCTGACATGAGAAACACTGTCTCAATACACACACCTATATAACATGACAAAGTTTATGACATGTTGAATCAGTGTGAATACAATCAAATGTTCAGTGCGACTGTTCCTAATCTATGCAGCAACCACATCTACATAAACTAGAAAACATTCACTACATATTCTGTTAGCCGAGCAGTGAAACACACAAATTCTGAGTAACAAAAAACAACACTGACTAATTACAATCATTTAAACTGATCAAACATTTATGGAAAAAGTTTCATTTTACTGTAGGAAAACTCCTGTGGAGAAATATTAACTGTGGATTTTAATCTTATAGGACCTCTACAAACAAAACAGTGAAAAATTGTTACCTTCCTAAACTCATTTAAAACTTTAATAAACAACGCCCCAAATATAATATAATGATTTTGGTATTATGGCTGTAGGGGAAACATTTTAGGCTACTTTGTTTCATACTCGAGCGTGAACGAATCCAATGATTAATGCATAAAGAATGTATGAAGCTGTCGTAACTAATGTGATGCCACTGTGACACATGACCTCCGGAGACCTGCCAACTGGATCCTTATTTTTACAACAAACCACTGCACTTAAAAGTCAAACTGAGAAACTTTGTAGGAAGCATGTGAAAAGTAATTTCTGTCACAGTCTAAATCTTTTTATTAAGCTTTGTAGCCATGCTTACACCATTGTCCATCTGTCGGTTGGTCAGTCATTTCATTGCTTTGGTCCAGATTCATTAATTTGAAGTTTTCTCCAGGTATTCATGGTTCCCAGATGATGAATCCTGCTGACCTTAGAGGCCCCCCCCCTAACATCTCCTCTACTATCATGAAGTTCACTTTTCTGGCTTTGACTGAAATGTCTCAACAACAACTGGATGGACTGCCCCTGAATCTGGTACAGACAATAATGTTTAAGACTATATATTTTAAAATGTTTCATACATATGGGCCCAAAAAACACAATCCCCTGCCTCTGCAAAAGTGGGCCTCTTTACTGGATGACCTCCAAAAACACCTCCTCAACAATATGTTTGTTATGTAGTGGGAGGCAGACAGTGGTAGCAAAAACTTGCTGAATTCACAACTACATGTGGACCTCATTACATGAGAAGATTCAAGTACACAAAGGTGTTACAAAAAAATAACACAGCAACTGTAGGTAGTGGAAGAAAAAGAGCACGGGCTGTTCCGTCTGCTGTGACAAAAAGCAGCGGTAGAGCTGACTCTACAATTAAATGTAAAAAATAAAAAAAAAGATGCAGCATACGCCATTTCTCCAAAAAGAAAAAAACATCTATTCCTGAGTCTGCTACCTGTCTGCAAGTGTCAAAATCTAAAAAGAGGGTGATTTAGGACAAATGAGTCACTCACAGCACAGCGCACCCACATAAGAGTACACACAGACACACACTTTCCCAAAGGGGGGGGCCATGAGGACGAAAGGGGGCTCTTACTTTTCCCACTCGGCCATCTCCTGACACCGTCTTTGGATCTTGCCTAGTTTGGGTTGTGCCGTGACCTGTGTGACACCTTTGACCGAGATGCGTTCAAGGAAAACTGCACCCTGGGATGAAATACAAAGGAAAACAGAAGGTTGAACGTGAACTGAATATAAGGAGACACACAAAGCCTCCTACACAAAGAAGAAAAACATTTGGAATACCAGTGATACTTCCGAAACAGCTGCTTCTTTGCTTTGTGTATCCCTGTGTGCTCATCTGGTTTAACCCCAAGGAGACAGGACTACACTACCTTCTCTCCCCTCACTAACTTTTTACTCCGGATATACACGAAATCTACTTTGATAGAAACAACATCTGCAGCACACAGTCACCTCATTTCCTAGGCTCACATTTCTTTTCCGGCATGACCTTTTCCCTCTCATTCTGCCCAAATGGGTCTTGCAAATTGGTATAATATGATAATATATGCCAATTAGAACAGAAACAGATGATATGGTATGTCGCACCGAGTGCCATTAGTGCATATGTTTTCAGTATGAATGGCTGTAGTGAGAAGGGAAAGACATGAAAAGATCATATATATACCCCACTGCCCACCTTCCAATCCAGAAGGACTTTTGTGAGTTGGACAGCAGTGCACCAAAGTCATCTATTTCTTATTGCTTGCTCAAAAGCTATTTTAACTTGGGTACAGGATTTGTGCAGGCTTCAAGTTAAATTTAAGACTTTTCAATAACACACAGAACTCAACTTAAAACTTATTTCATGAAGGTGTAGTGGCCAAAGTATTAAGACAAAGTGAAAATCCAGTAGGGATGATGTGCTTTTATTATATGACTTTTTTTTCCAGGACTTCTCAGGTGTATAATTTCTAATGATGCAACTAATTAAATTAAAGCAGCCTGGACCAAAATAATCGGCTTAAACTGGACAGATGGATTACCCAGTGAAAAAGTGATCAACTAGTTTAAGTTTTTACTGTCTGGGCGATTAATCAATCAACAGAGAGAAAAATCCTAAACCCTTAAACTGTTATTTAAAACAATGACCCGTGTTCTACTGTCACACATTAAATGAGACCAAACTCTTTTATATGTGCTAAAACAAAACATCTTATACAGAAGCATTAGTTCAGATTACAGCTGAAACAATAAGTCTGTTTTTTTAATTGACTAATTGGAAAGTATTTAGACAACTCATTAACTGTTTCAATCATTTTTCAAGCACCAGCATCAATAATTTGTGGCTTCAATCTCTTCAAATGATCACTTCAAACATCCCTTGGGCTCAGAAAGTGATAACTATTCTTTTCCTGGTTTTTAACAAGCAGACTAATTGGCAATGAAAATGATCACTATATGTTTGGGCAACAGAAATTTGTGGATAAGATTCAATGATCAATATACAATTCTATTGACAAAAGCGAGGGCACTGTGCATATAGGCTATACAGTCATTCTTAAATGCTTCAAACATGTTACAGCACAGTGTGCACAAGGTAAGCATGGAGAAACTTTCCCATCACAAACTACACTCCGCTCAAAAGCCGATCATTGATTAATCTAAGTATGCGCTCCCCAAAAATAACAGCACTGTTTCTTCTTGTCACATCAAAAGTGTTTCATTCAAGCAGATTCTATGACGTTTTCCCTCTTTAACTGGTCGCCAACCAGTCTGACTGTGGGGCCTACCACTCAACCAAAGAGTATTCCTTAATGCAGTCTGCGAGAGCTGCTGCTGCTGCTGCTGCTCTTCTCCCCTCTGGCTTCTTCCTCCTAGATCTGTCTGCTGTATCATATTCTCGACTATTAGATTTGTCTTGATTCAGGTTTTCAATAAGCTCTGTGCGCCACAAAAGTGATAGAAGCACACTTTGTAGCTTGTATTTGGATGTAACCCTAAGTGGCAAATTGCAAGTGGAATTACGTGTACAAATATTTTGCACCAACAAACAATATGTTTTGATTTTGTTCCTGCTGTTCAAACACTGGTGCTTCTGCCTTTTAATTTCTTCTACTCTGACTGATGAATGTTGGGGATGCAATATGAATTTAAGCTTCTTGCAACTTCTCAAAATGAGCCTGATGAGAGCATCAGCTGAATGCAAACAAAAGAAAATGTGATTATGCGCGACTGGAGATGATTTAATACTTCTAATTTTACCAAAGTGCACTGATGAAAGCGTTACATAAAGACAGGCAGACAGCTTTTATCTAATCAAAATGATAACTTTGCCAGAAGTGTAATTTTCTCTACATCTTATTAGGTATAGTTAAAACATAAGAGTCTCATCACTAAGACGCTCACCCTGAATGAGATCCCTGTTCATGTTGAGCACAGAGGGACCAACAGATTTTCTACTTCTCAGTTCATTCTGTGACTTCTCTGAAGTCTTACCTGCTTTAGCCTCTCCTTCTTTCGTTTTCCAGGCGCTGACCCAGAGGAACTGGGACCTGACTCCTGACCGACCACATTACCGTCATCATCCGCTTCACCGTCATCGTCGTCGTCAAAGCACCAGTCAGGCAGTGAGGGGGCGGAGGGCGTGTCCTCCTCGTCACCATAGCGACAGAAAAGCTCTTTGAGGTAGTCCCCCTTATAGATCCCTGGGGCCCGGGCCTTAGCGAAAGCAGCCACAGCTGCGTCGACTCTGATAAGAGAGAGAACAACCGTTTTATCTGTTAGTAAAAACTTCCTAAAACGCAGGTTAAATATGTGTAGGGTTGCAACCAAAGAATTAAAATAAAGTAACATTACTCATTGTGAATCAAATCTCAAATTAAACTGCATGACCAGCCCTTTCCAAAGATGCTAGTATGTTTGCTAGTCTGTGCACCAAAGGTTTGTGAGGCAATTGGGTTTTGAAGCGACTTAAAAAAGTGACACAAGTGAAAGGCTATCATAGCAAATTATGGTAGATCTGGAGAGTCCTGACTGCCCAGGGAGAAAAACAATCAATATCCATAAATATGTCCTAAAGCTCCTTTTGCAGTTGAGTTTAACTTTGTTTCTTTTTTATATTACATACTAATATTCACTCTGACCGCCAGCACATACGGCCTTTTTTTAAGCCTATGTGTCTAGAGAGATTCTGCTTCCTCACAGTGCTGCTCCACCCGTGACACGTCCTTAACCCCCAACCAGCTACTGTAAATTTTTTAACATCTGTATCGTGGAGTGAGAAGCCCTGTCACCGATAACCAGCAAGTGAAGCTCTGTTTCGGTTGCTGCTGCCAGACTGGCTTTTTCGTGCCGTCACACACACACAAACGTTCTGCAGAAGATGGGATTATTAGTTAAAAAAGACTGACAAGAGCTGGGAGAGTTCAATGCCACAGTAACAATGATGCAAGCCACTGAGTGAGCACCATGGTGTATGGTTTGTATTATCATGCAAGGCAACTGTCAGCAGTGTGGAACTGCACTCACAACAGTGTAAGCCCTTACCCCCAGTCCATCTTCTCCACCAGGTATGCACATATCAGAAAGCCTGTCCGGTTGAAGCCATGTGTGCAGTGAACACCTTCGGGGGAAAAAGAAGATATCCAGCACAGAGGTCAAAAACTCAGAATCCCTCTTTATTCCACAATTATATCCAATCTTAAGTATTTAGCAAACACTCTTCAAAATGCAATGATAGCATATGCTGAAATCTATCAATTTAAGGAAGCATGATGTGAGCAAGCCTTGGGGATCTTATCCAATGTGTTGCCCTCTTACATCAATAACATCAGCTGTCTTTGTGATGTACTAAGGCCATGTTTTGAGCAAGGGCATTAAGTCACACACTTAAAGGACTCACGGGAAGCTCCCCCTCTCCTTAGAGGGGGGGGTCCTGCCTTTATATTCACATCCAATATCAGTGTGACACCAGCCACTGCACAGAATAGACCCAGAGATTAATGAAACCCTAAGGCAGGCAAAGAGTGGATAAAAGGGCAAACAAAACAAGAGAGAGAGCGTATTCGTTATACTGAAGGGAACAGGACCCATCTGTAATGCAGACCGTCTGTTGC